GGAGAGATGGCCGATTGCAAAGTGGACTGGGAAATGGGGTTGGGCAGATGCAAGCACAGAAAACATCACACAAGGTCAGAAAACATCAGAAATGCCAGTGGCTCAGAGGGACTTGCACGAAAAGGAAGCCTGACCTCAGCCTCAAGGCACAAGAAATGTAACTGGGAAAAGGACTTGGGGCGAGAAAGGGCAGCTGCAGGAGCACTAAATATCCAGGGGGCAGGGGGACTCTGGTTGGACAGTACCCAGTCCTGACCCCCTGCCTGTTCCTGCAGCGCTGGTTCTGGTTGGTGAGAGTTCTCCTCAGTCTGTTCATCGGCGCAGAAATCGTGGGTGAGTGCGTGGTGCAACCGATGGGGAGGGGACCTAGGGTGGGGAAGGAGCTGGCAGAGGGCACCTCACTGACCCACTGAAGCCCCTCTGCCAGTCCACAGCCACATCCCCTCCCCCCCCCACACCCGACTAAGCAGCATGAGCCTTTTTTCATCTCAGAGGGATCTGGGGTTTCCATTCAGGGATCTTTGCTCCCATATATTTTCTTTTACCCGTTACTCCAAACCTGGGAAAATGGAGAGCTGGGCTTCCCTCTTCCTCTGTCCACTTCCAGCTCTTTCTAGTGCCCACTCTTCAGTTCTTACCACGTAGACCATATTGGACCTCCACTCCCATCTCTCTTCATAGTATCCCACCTTCCATCACCACGCTCCCAATTCCATCTCCCCAGCCCTTCCCCTAACCGCCTCCCACCCGTGCCTCTCCTCACAGCGGTGCACTTCAGTGCGGAATGGTCAGTGGGTAGCGCGAGCACCAACACCTCCTACAAGGCCTTCAGCGCAGCCCGCGTCCGAGCCCATGTGGGTCTGCACGTGGGCCTGGAGGGAATAAACATTACACTCACAGGTGAGGGGCTGGGCGACCTGAACTTCTGGGATGGACAGACCCCATGGGGCGGGGGGAGTGTGCCAGGGGCAGATGCAGGACCTCTGGGGGCGGGGGGTCTCTCGGGGCCATAGAGCTTGTGGTCCTCTCCCCTTTGTGTTTTTCCCCAACCCCTGCCAAACCCGTTTCTCTCGCGCCTCCGCTTTGCTATCCGAATCCACTTAGTTTCGGGTCCGGGGCTGGGCGCGGCCCCATGACCCCGCCGCCCTCCGCAGGGACCCCGGTGCAGCAGCTGAACGAGACTATCGACTACAACGAGCAGTTCACCTGGCGTCTGGGCGAGGACTACGCCGAGGAGTACGCGGAGGCGCTGGAGAAGGGACTGCCCGACCCAGTGCTCTACTTGGCGGAGAAGTTCACCCCGAGCAGCCCTTGCGGGTTCTACCGCCAGTACCGCCTGGCGGGACACTTCGCTTCAGCCACGCTGTGGTGAGCCCTGGCGGGCAGGCGCCGTGCGCGCGTGTGTCCAATACGCTCCGGGGTGTGTGCTCGCCCCTCGGGTCAGAAGGTCAGGGGGACCGCACAGACCGTCGGAATCTCCCAGAGCCTCATCAAAGGCTGGGATCCAGCTACACCCTTTGGGGGTTCCCCCTGCACTTCCGCCACGCCACCCGGGGTTTCGGCCTGGGGTAGAGGACGCGAGGCTGCGGGAGCCCGCGGACGGGGAGGAGCGGGCTCACAGCACCGTGTCCCCGCAGGGTGGCCTTCTGCCTCTGGCTCCTCTCCAACGCGCTGCTCTCCATGCCCGTCCCGCTCTACGGAGGCCTGGCGCTCCTGGCCACCGGCGCCTTCGCGATCTTCGCCGTCTTGTCCTTCGTCTCCATCGCCAGTGTGCCGTTCTGCCCGCTGCACCTGGGCTCCTCCGCCATCACCAGTCACTACGGCGCCGCCTTCTGGGTGACGCTGGCCACCGGTGAGGACCGAGCGATGGGCCCGGGCGGCGGGGGATAGGGACGGGGTTTATACCGGTTGCGCGCTTTCCAGTTTACAAAGTGAGTTCACCTACATTGCTCTTTTGCCCTTCTCGATAGTTCGTAGAGGCAGGCAACTGTTGTGCCCATCTTGCAGAAGGGTGTGGCATCTTGCCCAGTTAGCACTCGAGCCCTGTATCATGCCATCCATATCAGAGGTGTGTGTGTGTGTGTGTGTGTGTGTGTGTGTGTGTGTGTGTGTGTGAAATGGGAGGGGTGGCTCCATAGATGACGGGGGCAGGCCGGGTTCTGTCCCGGAGCCCTAACAGCCCCCTTTTCTTACGTCCGCGCTGCCGCAGGCATCCTGTGCCTCCTTCTAGGAGGGGCGGTGGTTGGTCTCCACTACGCTAAGCCCAGCGCTCTTCGCATCTTCTTGGACGGAAGCGTCAAGAACTGCGGTAACCAGGCGCGAGGGGGCTCGCCTCTCAGCCTCAGCAACCCGTACTACAAGCAGTTCGGGGCCTCGGACGCAACGATCAGTACTAACCTGTGAAGGGGACTCGACCTTGGACTCCGACTCCGCCTCGGTCCCCGGGCGCAGAAGTTCACCCCGAGCAGCCCTTGCGGGCTCTACTGCCGGTACCGCCTGGCGGGACGCTACCCTGGGGTGCCCCTCCTTACCACAGTGCCCGCCAAACGTGAGCCGGGACTGCTCTGGGAGGGGCGCTGCGCTGCGGGCCGCCAAGGAAAGGTGGGCGGCCTCAGGCATGCTCCTTGCACCCAAGTCTCCCAAGATGAACTGCAAATAAATTTTTTTCCCTTTTGTTTTGTAAAAACGGTTCTCCGTTCATTTCCATGGCTACTTCAGACTCTTGTGGGACACACGGCCTCAGGAAACTTCGCTGGGCTGCAGGCAGCCATAGAACATTTTCTTTGCCTTGGCACCCCGATTCTCCATCTGGAGAATCCAGAGTAACCCAGGAAAAGATCTGGGAGACGGGCGCCCTCTAGTGAGCTCAGAGGAGATCCGACTGGAGCCAGCATCTTCCTGAGCCACCCAAAAGGGATGGATGGTAAGGGCACGGGTGACCAGACAGCTCACCCTCCAACTGACACACCCAGTGGGATCCCCCTCCGCTGGCCTAGCTAAGTGAGCTAAGAGGAAATGGCGTTTGGGAGTTTATTCACTAACTAGAGGCCCCGTGCACAAAATTCGTGCACTGGGTGTGTGTGTGTGGGGGGGGGGGTTCCTCAGCCCGGCCTGGGAGCCCTTGGGGGTTGTCTGACTGCTGGCTTAGGCCCGGGGAGTGTGGGGAGCAGGCCTAAACCATCAGTCAGACATCCTTAGCGCTGCCATGGAGGCAGGAGAGGCTCCCACCACTGCCACTGCACTTGCCAGCCATGAATCCGGCTTCTGGCTGAGAGGTACTCCCACTATGGGAGCCCATTGACCACCAGGGAGCAGCTCCTGCATTGAGCGTCTGCCCCTGGTGGTCAGTGTGCGTCATAGCAACCAGTCGTTCAGCCGTTGGGTTGATTTCCATATTACCCTTTTATTATATAGGATTCTAGTTTATTCACTATGGAATGGTGTTAGGCCCAAGGTTGATGTAAGCAAGGCATAAAAATGTAAATCCTGGGATTTTTTAAAAGGTCCTTGGCAAGTCTTACACTTTTATTTAGCCAACTTGAGAACTGAAACTCAAAGAGAATGTGGCACAGTTGGTTAATATTAGGCCTAGGGTAAGAAGTTTGGTTTCTTCTCCCTCCGAGTGTCTCTTTCATTGTACCAAGAGGTCACACAAGCCGGGGAAATAAAGGAAGAACAAAGGGGACCCAGGACAAAGGAAAATAAGAGGTGTAGAGGGATGAGAGGGACCACAGAATCATCATTATGGGGGTGATGTTAGGTTTCAATAAATGGAATCTGACACAGGCAAAGCATCACAAAAAAAAAAAAGCAGGGTTGCTGTGTGGAAACATTTGGTCTTCTCATGTGACAAGGTTTATGGGCAGTTCCAATATCTGGTCAGCACCTTAGGTCTTTTCTTATGTTTTGTCAACATCGATAGAGAGAGTCTCCTTTTTTGACTCCACTTACAGACCGGAACTGGAGGGCCGTTACAACCCATTCTATGGGCAGTTCCGGAGGGAGGTTCGGGAGGCCCAAAGGAGGCCAAGAATCACATTGGAAGTCTGGGTGGCCACCCGGGAGAGGAACCTTATGGGTCAGGGTCAGGCATTCTGGGTTGCTCCTCCTTACAGCATGCCTGGGAGGACGCCTCTGACAGAGGAATGTCCTGGGGCTCAGGACTCTCAGCTGTGGACCGGTAGCGGGGGCTCAGGAGTCCTCCTTCTTCAGGATTCCACTCCAGCCCAGGGTTCTCCCCTACACTCTGATTGAAGAAAGCCTTCAGTCTGTGGGGCTTCATTCTGTGAGCCGCCACCATGGCCAGGCCCAGCAGCACACAGAGCAGTCCTGGGAATGAGGCAATAGGCGTCTTGTTTAGTAATGACAACACCCTCCCAAGGACATGTTCTCCTAAGACAGCGGTTCTCAACCTGTGGGTCGTGACACCTTTGGCAGCCGAATGACCCTTTCACAGGGGTCGCGACACCTTTGGCAGCCGAATGACCCTTTCACAGGGGTCGCCTAAGACCATCCTGCATATCAGATATTTACATTATGATTCATAACAGTAGTAACATTACAGTTATGAAGTAGCAACGAAAATAATTTTATGGTTGGGGGTCACCACAACATGAGGAACTGTATTTAAAGGGCCAGAAGGTTGAGAACCACTGTCCTAAGAGCATCAGAACAACTCTAAAGGAGGCCTGGCGTCCTGGCTTCAAGGCAACTTGGGCTCAGAGAGGCAGTTGTGAGTTTTGGACTCTAAGCCAAAAGCTTTCCATTACATCCCATGAGCCAGAGAGAATGAATGTGAATCTGAAAACAGGAAACCCTGAGGAAGGGCAGGGCACAAGGAGGAGGCATAGGAAAGGGCATGAGGGACAGACACAGTGGGTGGGACAGGAGAGGACAATAAACTGCAGGACACGTAAAGGTTATGTGAAACAGGGACAGAGAAGAATTCTAGGAATGGGGACACAAAGAATAATGTTTGGGGGAAGTGGGAGGGGACATGAGATTAGAAGATTTGGGAAAGGGTTGGACAAAGAGACAGTTAGGGGATGAGGCACGTGACAGAGAAAGAGAGAAGACATAGGGAAGTAGGCATATACAAAAATAGAGGGGAAGTGGAACTGGGGAGAGAAAACCCAGAGATGAGGAATATAAGAGGAATGGGGCTTTAAAGAAGGGAAAGGCACCCTGGCTCCCAGACCCCCTAAAATAATGGTCCCTGATTCTCCCTCCCTGGCCCCGAGCTCTCCAAGTGCCTGTCTTCGGGGCTGAGCCTCACCTGTGCTCAGCGTGATCCAGAAGGCAGGTCCACGGTGAAAGTGCAGCATAGCAGTGCCCATGCGCAGAGGACAGGGTGGGATGAGTGTCGTGGCCATGGAGAAAAAGATCAGTCCTGACAGCTGGAAGATGCCCGTGGCAAGCAGCATGTGGCAACCATAGACCAGCACAGGCATGGACAGCATCACGTTGGCCAGCAGCCAGCAGAGGAATGCCACCCTGGAAAACCAGGACCCTGTGAAGGCTGGCCCGGGCACCTCTACCTGAAGGACTCTAGGTGGAGGCTCAGGGACCCAAGGATACCTGAAAGATGTGAGGTAGGGATTTCTGCTTTGGGATTCCCAACAGAGTACTGTGGTGACCGGCGCCACCTTCCTCATAGGAATTGCAATATAAGGAGGGGGGTGGGGATGGGGGAGATGGCTAGAAACCCTGTTCCTGGGTCTAGAGCAATAGGGCCTCCATGCCACCCTCACCACAGAATGGCCGAGGTGTAGTGTCCCGCCAGGCGGTACTGGCCATGCAGGCCACATGGGCTGGTCGGGGTGAACTTCTCAGCCAGGTAGAGCACGGGGTCTGGCAGTCCCTTCTCCAGCGCTCTTGCATACTCCTCAGCATAGTTCTTCCCTAGGCGCCAGGTGAACTTCTCGTTGTAATTGATAGTCTCATTCAGCTGCTGCACTGGGGTCCCTGGGGAATGGGGCAGCTGTGCTCAGCAGGGACCCAAGGGCCAGCGTGGGGCATTTGCCTGGGTAAGGGGCTCCCCACAATGGGCAGAGGGACAGGAGCTGGTCTCAATGTAGAAAAGGCAGCTTCCAAGGCCTGGGAATTTCCCCTCCTACCATCCCCCCACCTTGCAGCTCTATAGACCACACCAAACTAGAGCCCAAAGACACAGAGCAGAGCTTTCTCTTCCCTCAGCGACAAGAGCCCTTCCTTACCTGTGAGTGTGATGTTGACTCCTCCCAGCCCAACATGGAGCCCAACATCAGCGCTGATCCACTGGGAACTGAAGGCCTTGTATGATGTGTTGATGCTGACCTGGCCCACAGACCACTCAGAACTGAAATTCACAGCTGGGGTTGGGGAGTTGGACATATGGGAGCTCAGGGAGTTGTGGGCATTGCTGAGTTAGAGTCAGAGGGAGAGCCACAGGGGGACCAGGTCTGTTTTGCTCATATTTGTATATCCATTAACTAGCCTACGGTCTGGCTCATGGTTGGTTTGTCAATAATGTGTGAGATGAATCCTAGACTTCCCTTGGTCATGCTCCTCTTATCCCTCCTTCCCTTTCTCTTCCTGTTTAGAGAGAGCTACTCAAGCAGCTGGGGGAGGAAGACATTAATGTAATAAACCATGTTGGGCAAACACAGTTTCAACTTTGAGACTTCATCTCTCCTACTTGCCTAATTCTCAAAGCAAAGCAAGCAGGCCTTCCCCCATTTCCTCCCTCCAGTATCCAAGGGCCTTCTCCCTACAGACATTCATTTTGATCTGCTTTCCTCTGAATAAAAATGTTATGAAGGTTGGAGAGATGTGTCCAGGATGGTTTCCCAGGGCCCAGACCCCGCTGAGCAGGGGTAAAAGGGAGGGGATATGGCCAGAATGAGGGAGGCATGTGGGCAGGGTGTGGAAGACCACACTGAAGCAGAGGCTGCCCTGAGGAAACAAGGAGACGCCAGACCGGCTGCTGAGGGAACCGGATGGGACAGATGGGACGGAGGCACTGCCTGAGGCAGCTGTGCTTCACACTCACCCAGGATCACAGCCCCGATGAATAAGCTGGTCACCACCCGAAACAGCCAGAACAGCCTCTGCGCCATAACAGGATGGGTGGGTTTAGGAAGGAGCACCCTCCTCCCAAGTCCACCCTTCCTCTTTCCAGCCTTGGGATTACTCTGTGGATGGAGACCAGAGTGCCTGGCAGGCACATAATAGGTGCTCAATAATCATCTGTTGAATCAGTGAGCAGGGAAGCTCTCTGCTGCAGCGGGGGCGGGGCGGGGGGCCTTTCTCAGGACTGAAGCCTGTTTCCTGAGTCTAGTTATAGTGAGAGAGTATGGCCCCCTCACCTCAAGGCAAGGTTTCTCTGGGACCATGGTCCCCAAGGCTGGGCTTGTTTCTTACCGTTTTGCCCCGAATGCCAGGCAGGATGATGATGAAAGTGACAAGTGCAGTAAGAAAGATGGTGATGATGATGGCCAAGGTGGTGTCCATTGGGAAGGTTGGCTTGGGGCCAGCATAGAAGGGGAATGTGTGTCCAAAAGCAGCCATTCTGGTGGGGTTGAGCAGGGAAGACAGAATCTGTACAACAAGGATAGATGTTTATTGAGTGCCCTGTGTGCCAGGCACTGTTCTTGGTGCTGGAGATACAGCTGAGAATAAACCAGATCAGGCCCCTCTTCTCTTGAGCTCACCAGACTCCACTGTTACTGCCATTCCACTGCCCCTCAGCCATTCATCTCCCCATGTTCTGGCTGTGAATAAATGAGGGTCTTGGCAATCAGTCTCTGTGGTTCCATGTTCCCTTCCTAACCTTCAGGTCGCTAAATCAGTGCCGCCACCATCCTGGAGGCTTCTCTGCTTCCTTTGGCACTGTCTTAAGAGACACAATTCTTTTTTTTTTTTTTTTATCTCCCTCAGGCCTCCAGACACGTCACAGAACAAAATAAGAGCTATATTTACTATCAAGTGAAAGCATAAGGGTGAAAGATAGTACAGATGACACAAATTTTGGTTTTCCTCCTCAGTCCCCAAAGGAACAAAGGTCAGACAGCTCTGACCTAAGTATATGATCCAACTCTATTATCAGAAGGCTGATTTCCAGATCTGGCACTGCCCACACTAGTCTGTCAGCTTTCTCAAGTGCGTGGCTCCCGCTCTGGCTACTTCAGAACAATTGAGCTGAATTGAGTTCACCTCAATAAGCACTGAAGGAGCACCTGTCATCCACCAGACATGGCGCCAGGGCCAGAGGCCAGATGTCCTTCTACCGCACACGCCATCAACTGCAGCCTTCCTCCTTGACTTAAATTCCCAGGCCTTATTTCAGCTCACCCACTGGCTCAGCTCTTCTCTGCCTGTTCCCTGATTTCAGAGCTAGATTTACTCTAATTTGTCCCTTTGCAGACAGATAGTGTGTTTTATTAAATCCAGACAAAATGGATTACAAGACACACTATTACTTTATGTGAAAGAAAGAAACTACGAATTAAACCATGACAGCCATTGTTGGTAAGATACACCTCAATTTCAGAGATGTCAACATGTGAGAATAAAGCACATTTTACAATCAATGATTCCAGCTCTGCTCATTTTCCTGAGTGTGATCTACACTGGGTTCTTGGTTTGCACAGGAGGCTCCATGCTTTATAGTCTGCTTCCCTCCCTCTGGCTGGCTGCAGGCACCCAGGATCCAGGACAGCTTCACCCGGGCCAGCCGCAGCTGCAGGGGACCGTGGGTGGGCAGCTTTGCCCGGGCCGCAGGCACTGGAGCCTGGGACCATGGGGTGGGCAGCTTGTCCCTCTCCTGGGCCGCAGGCACAGGCACTGGCGCCTGGGACTGCGGGGCAGGCAACTTGTCCTCCTCCTGGGCCGCAGCCTGGCTGGTCCCCATTCCTCTCTTGTGAGCTCATTTGTGCCTGGCTGGTCACCATTCCTCTCTCCTCAGTGTTGAGTGTCTGAGCCATTATGGCATGATGGCATGAGGGCATGACAGCGTGAGGGTGTGATGACCATTTTCATATTAGCTCTTTATTATATAGGCTGAGAGTGAAAGAACAAGCTTTGGAGTTAAGTAGTTCTATGTTTAATTTCCACCTCTGCCTCTTGCAAGTTACTTGACTTCTACAGAGAATTTTATTTTAAAACTAGAGGCCCAGTGCATGGATTTGTGCACTGGAGGGTCCCTTGGCCTGGCCTGTGCCCTCTTGCAATCCAAGACCCCTTGGGGGATGTTGGGCTGCCGGTTTCATCCCGATCCCCACAGGCCAGGGAATCCATGCACCAGGCCTCTACTATGCATATAAAATCTTAGGTTAATCTCTTCCCGCCCTCCCACCTTCCCCTTCCCTCAGATTAATCAGTCTGTTCAATGTTTCCATGCCTGTGCGTTGAGTATCTGCTCCCTGGTGGTCAGTGTGCATCATAACTACCTGTCAAATGGTGGAACAGTTGCATAGGCTTTTATATATATAGACTAGAGACCCAGTGTACAAAATTCGTGCATAAGTAGGGTCCCTAGGCCTGGCCAGCAATCAGGGCTGATCTGTAGGGTGACCAGCAGGATGATCGGGGCCCCTGCTTTCACCTGCCTTGACCTGGTGCCACCTGATCACCGGCCCCGCCCCCTGCCACTGGTCACTGTGCTGCTCTCATTGGGGCCCACTGGGGCCAGAAGTGCCTCCGCTGCTGCCTGCTGCCAGCACCATGTCACCGATGCCTGCCATCTTCTGTGCCACCCCCTGATGGTCAACGCACGTCTAACTCCCAGTCAGTCAAACTGGTTAGTGGAACTCCTGCCCGTGAGGACAATTTGCATACTAGCCTTTTATTATATAGGATGGAGATGATAATAATGTTTACATCATAGGGTCATTGTGAATATAAAATGAGACTGTGTATGTAAAGTGCTAAGAATAGTACCTGGAACAGAATATCAATACATGGAAGCTACCAGATTGAGAAGGCGATGACAATTTATTACTTCATTTATTTCCAACCCTTTTTGGAGAGAACTGGGCTGGAATCACTTCTGGGTCTGGTTCCAGTTCTTCAATGAATAATGTAACATTAGGAAGGCAAATGACAATTTCCCCAGTCCTGTTTCTTTCTCTACAATTAGATATGATGATCTTGGAGTCCCTTCTAGTTCTAAATACTGTGATTCTCCTACAAAACATCATAGCTCCCAGACTTCCCCTTTCCTTATGGGCTGGTTATTTTCTTAACTTGTCAACTCTCCCATCCCAGAGGAAGGAGTATCTCTCTTTCTTCTGGACTCTGAAACCTATCCAGCCTGCCTTCACCACCACCTTTCTCATAGCTTATGCTTCTCAAATCTATATTTCTAAGTAGACCTCTTATCTGGGCTCCAAACACAACAGGGTCAATTACCCCATGGGCTTTTTCACTTGGATGTTCCATGGATGCCTCAAATTTAACAGGTCCCAAACTGAATTCACTGTCTCTATTTTGCTTTTCATTTTTTATCTTTTTGGTCACCACTCCATTAATCAAATAAAGCAGAGACCTGGAGTATCATACTTCTTAAATATTTATTGAAACCATCCATGCATTTCCTTCCCTACTGCCTCTGCCCTAATTCAGCCTCATCCTGTCTTGCCTGGTGTCAGAACAATATTTCTAACAAGCAAATATAATTATTTCAATTTTTTGCTCTGGGGAAAATCTAATCTCACCATCATATAGAAAGTCCTTTGAAGTCTGGTCCCACCTACCCTTCCATCTCCATCTTTCACTCAGCCTAATCTCTAGCCACACTGAGCTATTGGTCTTCCTCGGAATCTGACATGCTCTTTCAAGCCTTCATGCCTTTGTACATGCTATTTCCTCTGCTTGGAATGCTCTTACCTTCTTGGCAAACTCCTTTTCACTTTTCAAGTCTCAGCTTGTGTTAACCCCTCTGTGAAGGATGCTATCAGGTCTATGTGGATGTTCCTACATCTAATGTTCTGGTTGCATTTTGAACACACCTCCGTCCATGATACCAATAATCAACTTATAGACTGTTTGAACATCTCCCTTCCTTTTAGCTTTGACTATCTTTATTCCATCTTTGCAACTCCTGAACATAGCATATACTAATCAGTCTGTGGATCAAATGAATGAATATTATGAACGGGTTCCTCCCTGTGCAGGCAGCATCTTCTATTTGGAACACAAGAGGGAGCTATATTCCCTCATTGTCATTCAACATTACTTTGAGTTCTCACCAATATAGGGCTAAGGACTGGGCAGGAAGGGATTTGACTAACCATGTCAATTTTTAATGATTTCAAAAAATTTTCAGAAAGTCTCTTCCAATAGTTGGATTCTTCAAAGCACGAGTGTTCATTTTAAATTGAATCTGAAACATACATTTGAACTCTAGCTCAACATGAGTAACAGAATTTGTGGATTAAATTATTTTGTAAAATATGTCATAGTGATATTTATTTTATTTTTTAAAATATTTTAATTGATTTCAGAGAGGAAGGAAGAGTGAGAGAGAGAGAGAGAAACATCAATGATGAGAGAGAATCATTGATCGACTGCCTCCTGCATGCTCCTCACTGGGGATCAAGCCTGCAACCCAGACAAGTGCCCTGACCAGGAATCGTGCTTTGACCAGTAATCGAACCGTGATCTCCTGGTTCATAGGTCTGATCGCTGAGCCACACGGGCTGGGCAGTGATATCTGTTTTAAAGCAGATGTTTATTGGTCTAAGAATTTTAAATTTATAATACCTAAAATGAAACCATTATAATTTTGATAGAAGGCTATATTTTTTAGGAAGTTTATAAAATGATTAGTTAGTAAGACAGGAAGATAAAGCAAGCTTGCTAATACATGTTACATTCTGTAACTTCAAAAACAAATGTTTGCAATATAAGCAAATAATAGTGTAATATATTTTGATCAGGGTCACCTTATTCCTGCATTTATTTAAAAGGGAAGTTATACAATATGTTACAAGAATGGCTCATCTCTATTAGTATGGTGCAGCAAAGAAACACTACCAAAAGCTTTCTGTATCCTAAGCACAGAACATTGTTAACTTATTTCCAATTTTCCAAAATATTTATTAAAGATGACTAAAGCAAAGAGATAATTGGTGAATGAAATTTGCCATAAGTTTTTTTGTTTAATTTAATGAATTAGGTCTTTCTTAATCCACATTGCCTAGTTTTTTTCTTTGTTGTTTTTTTTAAAATATATTTTTATTGATTTCAGAAAGGAAGGGAGAGGGAGAGAGAGATAGAAACATCAAAGATGAGAGAGAATCATTGATCGGCTGCCTTCTATATGCCCCACACTGGGGATCAAGCCCACAACCCAGGCATGGTTCGACTGGGAATCGAACCATGACTTCCTGGTTCATAGGTTGACGCCCAACCATTGAGCCATGCTGGCCAGGCAACATTGCCTAATTTTTAAAGTTAATTTTTCATGATCCTGTCTTAATTTGATTTTCATGATTTAGCGAACAGGCCTCTCCTGCATGAAGAGGTGGGACTAAAATGAAAAGTCCCACATCTAGCAATCCTGCTTTTCCTATGAAGCCTATCAATTCCCTCAGGAACACCTTCCTCCCTGATTTGCCAAGAAGCGTCTGACAGTAGAATTTCTCCTAATTGCCGGGGTCCAACCCCGGTGGGTCCAGGGGTCCCCAAAGGTGTGGACAGAGTCGACGAAGAAGGAATGACATGGAGGCAGCATTCAGTTCATTAGCATAGTTGAGTTCTCTCGTGGAACTTAGTTAAGAGGTTTTATTCCCTCCTTAACTTCAGGGGGAAATACCTACCTGGGGAAACAACCTTTCTCAGAGAGGTGACCTTGGTTAAAACACATAGTGCCAAGAAGGTGAGCAAATATATTAAGAACAGTATGCCATATATGCCAGGTCCCTTGAAACAGCAAGGATGGACCGGCTCCCGGCACCTAATCTGATACAAATCTCATGTCAGTCCTCACTTGACCCACTTCTCCCTGAGCTCATCACCATGATTGGTAAATAAACACAATGCATATGGTTATTAATAAACACTAGGGAACATTTATAGAGGAGAACCAAGATGGCGGCATAGGCTAACGCCAGAGATTGCTGCCTTGAAGAACCAAATCTAAATACACCTAAAAGACGGAACGAACATCATCCAGAACCACAGGAAGGCTGGCTGAGTGGAAATTCTACAACTAGGAGGAAAGAGAATATCATACTCAGATTCAGAGGAGGCGCAGTGCTGGAGTGAAATATTCAGGTGCGGAGCGGGCTGGCGGCGGAGGGCCTGGTTGGCATTTTCAATTGGGAGGGAGTTTCAGACTCTGAGCTCCAGATCTGGGCGAGTCTCTAGGGACCCAGACTCAAATGGGAGAAGCGGGACTGTCTGGCTTCAGTCCGAGCGAGGGCAGCTTTCTCTCCGAGGTTTGCAGCAGTTGCTGGGACTCTGTGAGGCAGAGCCCCTAGGGACGGAACTGAGAGCCACCATAACTGCTCTCTCCAGCCCACCCTGCTGATCCC